TGCTGACTGGACTGGGGACAGTGCTGTTGTGGAGCCAGCAGGGAGCCTGTCTGCAGAGATGTGATGTGCTGATACAGTGACTGGTCAGGTAAGGGGCTTGGCACTTCTCGGAAGAAGCGTGTCTGAGGGTGTGCGTCTCACGTGATCATGCCAGATTGGGACGAGCCAAGCAGGAAGACGGGCTGGAAGCGAGCTGCATTATCAAGAGTACCTTGGTGAGAGGATCAGTGTAAATCCTAATAGGTACAAAGACTGTGTTTTTGCTTTGTCACAGATTTATTGACAAACTTTTGCTTCTGCTTACATTTTTAGCATTTCATTTCTGGTTTTCATTTTCAAGCCCCATTGCCTTTTAAAAATTAAGTGGTTTTCTTTCTTTTTCCTCCATCCCTCTGTCTTCGACTGCCCTTCCCGACTCATCCCCACACCATCCTCTTAAACATTTTTAAAGCCCAGCCCCAGACATTGGAAATAGGTAAGCAGGAGGAAAAGTATAGGTTCTGACCTGGTGTCAAGGAGTCTTTGTCAACAAGGTGAAATTATTCTTGGAACACTAGACATCATAAATCAAACACTAAATTGTATCATGTAAACTCCTTACACTTCTCAAATATTGAGCTTTGGTACAATCATGAGTAAACATTCTGGTGATTATTTAGAGGCCTTTTTATACACCACATATAGTTTTTCTACAAAAAATTTGTCTTTTTCACAAAACCAACTTCTTGTCAGCCAGTGTACTTATCAAAGAGAACCCACTGTTTTTGCAATTTTTCCTACTCTTTAAAGCTTTTCCCAAAATTCCTCAGCAAGAATTGTTGAGGCCTGTGGTGTACACACCCAACTTGTTTTTAAAATTCAATTCCATTTTAATTATAGCATCTCTGTCCATTTACCCAGGTGTCTTGAATGTATTTGCTCCTTTTCTTTGTTTGGGCAGAAATAGGAATGAGTCATTTTGAATTTAAAATCTTTCCCAGAAGATGAACTACTTAAGGGAGTGGGGGGTGATACAAAGAAGCACTGTGTCTGTTTCCATCTTTGGTTTTAAAATATCTGTAACTCTTACAGGCCATACAGCACGAGAGCCTTCCTTTCTGTCATGTTCCCTTTGCTTTTGTACGAGCACATGTTTTCTGTACCAATCAATTGGGAAAGAAGAGAGTTTCTATTAATTGTTTTAGTTTTGCTTGTCGATTTAGCATTCCTTTTTGAGTAAAGATTTATGGAACAATAAATGTCATTCAATGCTGTGTGCTATCCTGAATTCCTCATAGGGTTTTAGAAATGGGGTAAAAAAGTTAGAAGCTCATCAAACTTGAAATCACACACCAAGTGGTATTAAGCATTAGTCTGTCCCAGTGAAACAAGTTAAATTATGGCACCAGCAGATTGGCTACTTTGTTTTTTTTAATAGTAGGATGTATACATTTCTGTATAATAAATGTTTTCTGATTGTTTTGCAAGTGTGTGTGTCATTTAAAATCCCAGTTCCTGCCAGTGTCACAGAAGAGGCTCCACATGTATGTTCTGAGGACACACCAGTCCAAATGTTATAAGAGTTGAGACCCAGGTGGTTTTCTCAAAGCTGCTGCAACTGAGAGGTAATGTTATTCTAGTAACTTACTTTTCTTATTAGAGGTTCTCCTGTTTTATAAATGGGTCATTGAGTAAAGTAGCTGTGATAGATAATGTATAGAAGGCCCATTTACATAAAATAGAAACTGTAATTCATAATCACTGAAGCAGGTCTGTGGTATATGTTTTGTTTTATTTAAATAGCATCAGTCATTTCTCCCCTACACGGTGTTGCAAATGTATACTTAAATAACTACTGTGGTATACACACAATTTTTAGACCTGTGAATACCAGAGTTTATCATAAAGCAATAAAATCATCAAGTCTTGAATGCTTTTTCTGATAATCCCGTTAAATCGATTTATGGGGTTCTGTGTATATGCCCTCTCTTCCTAGAATCAGCTGAGGCATTGTGTCCTGAATACCTCTAAAACTGCCCGCCTAGAAGTACTGCTAGTAATGGGAAAAGAAGACCTTGTTTGCCGTTTCACTTATGCTTCTCACAAGCTCTGGACTCCAGTCCAGGAGTGGTTGCTAGGAAGGGTGGTGGTGGGTTCCCAATTTTAATAAAGATCACAAATGTGGACAGCACAGGCAGAAACTAGATCCTCTTATCAGATGCTTAGATAACATTAGGAAGGTCTTGAATTTGGAAAGTGGTTTTGCTCAGATTTACCTGCCATAGATTATAGCAATAAAACCCTCTGACTTAAGCATTGCAATGGTTTATTCATTTTTATATTTTGAGTCTAAAAGGTGCCAACACTTGACTGATCTGAGTTTTAAATGTATAAAACTTCTGACTAGTTCTGGTGTAACTTGATTTCTAAGATTTTAAAATAAACTTGGAAAAAATTACACCCATTCTACATGCATCCATTCATTATTTTTAATTCATTACTTCGTAAGCCTTATTCAATTCTATTGCTTTAAGGTCCCCCAAGTTTTGTGAGATACGACATTAGCTTTTCTCCTATAATAAAACTGTGTGCTATAGCGTACACCAGAGCTTCTAATTTCCAATCGGGCAACTTGAACTCAGGGTTGACTGTTTTGTTTGGTCCCCCAAGTTGACAGAAATAGGTGAAGACCCTGCTTCACCCAGTGAAGAGTCCTCATTTCTTTGGTGTCTCATAGAAACTTAACATGCCTTCCACATACAAAACTATTAGGTATTACGAATTTGCAGTACAGTCACTTTGATAAAGGTGCGTCAAAGTGGAAAAGCCCTGCTAATCAAAATGGAATTGTTGTGAATTAAAGTAGGCCACTATCTTAAGTATCAGGTAGAAAATCAACAGCTTGGTTTCTCTGCTCCATTTGTGCTAACACTGATGGTCTGAGGAATGCTGACAAAGCTGAGGACAGAACGCTTGTCCCCAAGAAGGTAAACCCACCTTGTTAAGAAACCAGGTTTCTTGCAGGATCCTGGCTGCACTGAAGCCACTCTTGCTGTGTTTACTGACAAGGCTTTGATTTGATTGTATCGCAGCAGACTAAAGTCAAAACTATCGCCAGTTACTGCAATCCCTACAGAAGTCTTTTACCTGTAAATACCTTTCCCAATGGAGACTCAACAGATTTCGGTGACCGTGTAGAAGTAGGGAAGACTTGGGTCTTCTCTGGAGTTGGGCCCTGCAGCTGCTGTCAGAGAATGACACAACACCTGCACAGCCGATGGCCACTTCCTCCCACTGCTGTCGGTGGTGTGACGGGTGCAAAGTAGGCATGGACTTTGACATGAGGGAGCTGAGCCTGGAAACAGAAGAAAAAGGTGGAATAATCTTTACACGGATATTTTTGGAATTATAGGCATAGTCCTAGAAAAGCCTGTAATTCTCCACGGGGAATTGGCTTCACTTTACCATTAGGCAACTCGTGCAAAAAGAATTTCAGGGGTAGGCTAGAGCTGCTCCTGTTCACATAATACATCCCCTAGAACAGCACCTTCCAAAGAGAAAGGAAAACTAATAATATTTCTGCTCCTGGGTAGTCACTGGCCCCCAGTAGAGTTCCCACCAGCTGTAGCATCCCAGGCAGCTTTTGGCCTGTAAATGCAAAGTTAAAAACTTTGTTTTCTTGAACATGCTATGTGTCAAAAGCAAGCCACATTCTATTAGTGCTCTCGCCTGGAAATTAGCCAAGACCACATGTACTTACTACTGGTCATGACCTCCGGCCCCTCTCCTTGTAAGGGTGCTGATCACCTGACTATGTGGAACCCATTCTGGAAATTGTATCTCCCAGGCTGGGGTCTGATTAAGGAATTTTGAAGAAGTCTCGGGAGACATCTAGATTTCTGTGTGACAGACGTGCACGTTGATTCTTGGTGTATTTGTTGCTTGCTTAGAAATTGTGCCAGGTGTACGGCTCCTGCCCCACACTTACCCGCATCCGCTTGATGCCCGCGCGGGTAACCTGCTGGCAGTCATACAGCTCCAGGCGCTCCAGGCCACGGCAGTGTTCCAGGTGCTCCAGGGCCACGTCGGTGATGAGGAGGCAGTTGTCCAATTCCAGTACTTGCAGCCTCTCATGGCCACAGGTGCTATTGCTCAGGTGCAGGATTCCATCATCTGTGATGAGCTCACAGTGGGACAGGCTCTGCAGGAGGGAGAGGACAACATGTTTGCAAGACCCTCATTCTAATGTGTATAGCCTGGGAAAAGCCAGGGGAGCAACCATTTATCTACAGGGTCGAACACAAAGCCGGGGGACTGCTGCAGCTGGGGAGTGGTTTCTCTCACCTTCCTGAATATAAAAGCAAGTCAGAATTGCAGGGGATGGTCTGGTTCAATCCTGAGCTCACCTCCCAGGTACAATCTACAGCTACACATGGAACAACTTCCTCTGAAAAAAGCTTAAAAGCTGGCTTAGCACCTCCTACACATGGGACCAGTGAGGGAAAGCCCGTGACAAAGCCGGTAGGAGGGGCTGGGACACAATCTCACCAGAAACGCCAATCGCAGTGCGGGACCCAGAGTCAGAGGGTGCACCAAAACCTGGAGCTTCTCCCTGGGGAGGGAAGGGTTAAAAACCCATTGTCCCCGCCCCCACTCCCTGACTTTTAAGACTTACACCCAAGTGACAGGCCCCCAAAAGAACTAGCTTTGAAAACAAAAGGCTCAAAGCCACAAGGTTGCAGCAGATCTTACAAGACTCGCCTGCCCAGGGCCCAGCGTGGGACCCTGGGAAAATGAGAGGAGCGCCACCAGCCCGAGGGGTAGGCATCTGATCAGACACCCATTCAGGGGAACCTTGGGGCGCTCTCTGGTGATGGAGACTAGGTGCCATCTTTGCACTCCTGCCTTTACCGGGAAGATGCCATTTTTTAAAACGGGCTTTTTTCCTTTCCTGGTGGGCACCACCGTCTCTACGTGTCTGGTGCCCCAGTTATTGCGGCTGCCGCCAGGGGGTACCTACATCTCTTGGCTCTGGTGGCCCCCACAGAACTGTGGCCAACAGAGAACGTTCTTAAACAGCTGCCACCTCAAGGGCACAGCAAGAACCCACAGACTCAGGAGCTCAGCCTTGTGAAAGAGGCCTAGGAGCTCATCGCTGCGGCCTGATGGGCAGGCTTCTAATTGAAAACACAACAGACCTACAAATGCATTCAGTGAAGTTTTAGGACACAAAACAATATACAAAAATATGTTGTGTTTCTATACACTAATAAATTATCAGAAAAAGAAATTATGAAAATCCCACTTACATCTGCATGAAAAATAAAACACCCAGAAATAAATTTAACCAGAATGTGAAAGGCCTATACACTGAAAACTATTAGGCATGTATGAAAGAAATTGACACAAATTCCATGCTGGAAAATTAATATTGAAATGTTCATACTACCCAAAGCAATCTACAGATTCAATGCAATCCTATGGCATTTTTCACAAACAGAACATCCTAAAATGCACAAAACCACAAAAAACCTAATAAGTCAAAGCAATTGACTTAAGCACAAAGCTGGAGGCATGCTCCAATGTAGTTAGATTTCAGTCCAGTATTGGCATAAAAACACACACCTGATAGAATGACATAAAAACAAGTGATTAGGATGTGGGAAAAGGGAACCCTTTTGCATTGACGGCAATGTAAATTGGTGCAATTACTAGTGAAAACAATAGAAGGTTCATTAAAAATTTTTTTTAACCCTTTGTGGTCCAATTTTATTTTTGGAATTCAAACAGTCTGGTCCAAATTAATTGATGGGATTGAATGTTGAACTAGTTTGCGGTGTCTCAGCCTCGATGTTGTACCTGCTAGCGCCTGGTCTGTCGAGTCAGCCTCCACGTTGGACCGAAAAGGGTTAAATACAACTATTAGAGATGATCCGGCAATTTCACTTTTACGGTTTTCAAAGAAAAAGAAAACAATTCAAAAAGATACATGCGGCCCCATGTTCACTGCAGCATTATTTACAACAGGCAAGAAGTGGAAACAACCCAAGTGTCCACCATCAGATACGTGGGTAAAGAAAATGTGAGACATGCACATATGCAGTGGTATATTCAGCCATAAAAAAAGGAAATCTTGCCATTTATGACAATATGGATGGACCCTAGAGCATTGTGCTAAGTGAAATGTCAGAGATGAATACCTTATTATCTCACTCATGGAATCTGAACCAACTGGGGAGAAAAGACATCAGACTACAAAACTACCTGTAATATGCAGGGGGGAAACAGAATGGTACAGGTAGATTCATGTACATTCATGACTGCTGTCTGAAATCTGACCCCAGACTCCAGAGTCCCAGAGTGAATGTGAAAATAAGGAAACTGGTGGGGAGAGTAACTTGAGGCCAAATGGAGCTTTGGTGATGTTAAAAAGTCTGGCCTCTGGGGACAGCCAGCTTCAGGAAGACAGAAAGCTGGCGTAAGGAAATCTGTTGTGTATTTCAGGACTGGGAAGACCCGTGGCCCCCGAGCAGTTGTGTAACGGCTTTGAGCTTCCTTTTTTCTGCTCAGATAAAACCGTGCCCACAGTGCCTGAGTCACTCCGGGCTGCGGATGGGACTGAGTGTAGGTAGCACAGTGTCCAGGGCCTTGCTCCATGAGCAGGGTTCCATCCCACTCCCCGCTCTGGTCAAACAGCTGGATGTGAGGGGTGCATGGGGTGCCACTGCTACTCCACTGCTCATTTTGGACCTTTTTAATATGTTCTAGTTCCTTTTCCATATACATGCTTATACGGAGAAGGGATTATATATCTATGTGCAGATATGAAGTGCAAATATAACTCAAGGTTGGCCTCAGCCTGAGGTTATATCACGTTAACATGCTAATTCTCCCTCTGCCTGCCATGATGAACAGGAACTTAAATGGTAAGGGCATGGGCCCTTAAATTAGGTTCATAACCTAAAAGGAAAGCAGTAACATTAAGATACCCTCTCTCACATTAGCCCAACCATATAGACCTTTGAAACCAAGAATGATGGTACCTTTACGGGAAGGAAACCCAGATTCCTGTTGTGGTGAGGTGAACAGTGTCACACCCACTCAGACTCACCAGGGCTTGCAGGTTAGGACAGTGAATGGAGAGCTGGATGAGCGTGCTGTCGGTTATCTGGAGAGAGACACGCTGTGTTAATGTGGCTTCTACACCACAACTTAACACCTGACTCTGGCTTCTGAACGTGAGCATCAAGGAGCAAAAAGAGAATAAAAGACTCGGACAAGGCCTCTCTGTCATCAGCAACCCCGTCTGCCCACCGCTGGGGACTCAGCTTCTTCAGTCTCTTGGAGCCTAAGGGGGCTGAGGGAAGGGTTTGGACAAAGGGGGAGTGGGCAAGGAAGGTCCCCCAGGATTCTATGTAGTCACCTCATCCTGGACATGCAAGCTTATTTTTCTCTTTAGTTCTGTGAAAATAAGAATTTTGTTTCTTTCTTAATGTTTGACAAAAGTTGGAGTAACTTTGAACTTCTGGGCTGTGGCTGGCTGATGACTGAGGACAGTCCAAAGTTTACACATCCCACTGCCAGGGCCTTCAGAGTTCCCCAGCCCTGATCCTACACTGGACAAGGAGGGTCTGAGCTACAGCCCATCGGCGTGCCTGGCTACACCTGGCTGTTGGTCAGGGACTGCGGGGCACCCCTGCAGGGCACAGGGGGGTCCACTCACCAGGACACATTCTTCCAGATCCATCTTCTCGAGGTCATGGCAATTCTGAAAGAGTTCACAGATATCTCTCACCACGCAAGTGGTGTGAGGGCAGCCCTGGGGGCTTGCCCTGTTCCCAAAGCGCCCGGCAGCCAGCATAAGCAGGTGCCCTTTGAATCACATCCACTTGGGAATGGGAATGGGGCTGCCCTGGCTGCATGTCCTTGCATCCTGGAAGGTAGTTGCCCAGCCTTCACAGACGCCAGAACAGAACAGGTCCTTTGAGGGCCTGAGGTGGGGCGCTGAGCACATAGTGGGCAGGAGCGTGGGGCAGGAGGAAGTGTACCAGCAGCCCCAGGAAAGGGTTACTGGCAGCAGGCCAGAGGGCCCCACAGGGGTCTGCATTTGCAGAGGCAGCTCAGCCCAGTGAGAGGCTGTGGTCGGTCCTGTGGAAGGAAGGCCATCTCCTCCCAGGGAGACCACAGGCGAGAGGTCTAGACCTGCTACAAATCCCTCCAGATCACCCCTGCTTCCTGACCCGCTGGGGGAAAGCATGGCACACCCTGAGGACTCCGACTTGGTGCCTGTGTGCTTTTTCCACACTCCAGAACCACTCCAATCACTCTGAAGGGGGGAGGTGAATTAGAGTTTGGTTTGGTTTTTAAAACCTTCGCCTTACCCGAGCTAAGAGTGTAAAGCCTGCATCGGTCAAATGGGAACACCGGGCAGCCTCCAAAATCCTGGGATAAGGAGAAAAAAGCAGCGACTGGTCAGCAACAGAAACTCATCCTCTATGGTGCACACTCCAGTTCCTTCTGCTCCTTGACACTCTTGCTTCTGGTAACAGCCCTAAGGTGGTAATGCAGACACTGTCCCCACTGGAAGGACGAGGAGAACGAAACTTAGGGAGGAACGGGACCTGCCCTGAATCCCAAAGTCCCATCCGAAATTCTGGACAGGAAGCCAGGAATCTTCCCACACAGTACCGTACACTGTTGCTGCTGTTCTTTTTAAATATTTTCCCAATATTGTTATCTTTAAACACAATTAAAATGAACTTTTACTCAACAAAATCATGATAAATACTGCATTTACTGAAATTCTCAGTTACCGTATAGGAAAACTTAAAATTATAGCCAGTGAGAGTGTTAGTTCTCAATACCCATGCTTAACAGGATGGATGCATAAATAACATTTTTAAGTTAAATACTCTTATAGCAATAATTTTAACCTCTTTTCTGACCAGTTTTAATACCAGATTCCTTTTATGCAGAAATATCAAAATTATCTAGAATCTTCCCTAATACAACAGCAAAAAAAAAAATGGGCAAAAGATAAAAAAGACAACCTTTATAAGATATGTAACTGATACAAGCAAGAGAAATCAGTTCCACTAGCAAATAAAAAATAATAAAAGCAGCCCGGCCAGCGTGGCTCAGTGGTTGAGCATCAACCTATGAACCAGGAGGTCACTGTTTGATTCCCGGTTGAGGCATATGCCCAAGCTGCGGGCTCAATCCCCAGTGTGGGGCATAAAGGAGGCGGCTGATCAAGGATTCTCTCTCTACCTCTCCTTTCCTCTCTGAAACCAATAAATTATATTTAAAATAATAATTAAACAAGCATCTTTTTTCTGCCTAGTGGATAGGGAGGGGCTAAGATTGCTGGTTTTGAAGTCAAACTCCACAAGTTCAAATTTTAGTTTTACTTCTTACTCATCATGTGATCCAGAACAAATTATGTGGTTTTCTTTGAGTCTGTTTCTCTTCTGCAAGACATGTGACAATAGTAGTTAGTACCTACCTCCTAGAGATGTGGTGAGGATTAAAGGAGATAAAGCCTAGCGCAGAGCATTAATAAATGAGATAATGCCTAACGTAGAGTTCAACGGATATTTACTATGATTAGTATTTTGTTGCCATTATTAAAGACTTAATATTCACTGTATTATGTGGCAGATCAAAAAATAAATCATTTTTTGTTAAAACAAAACTTTTCTTCTGACTAGGAGATGATAAATAGGGCGATTGGGATTCCCTCCCCCCTCCTGTCCATTTAGCAGCTGGTTTAGAGGAGAAACTGGTGACACCTGGAAGCAAGGCTGTCATCCTGCTCACGATCAGATCGCTCTGATATCAATAACAGGATGAGGCAAATCAGGTGGGCCTGTGCGGTCCGTCAAGACATTAAGGTTCCTATTCCCTGGTGGTGGACACTACCCCTACATTCCAAAATGAACTGGGTGCCACTGTCCCGCCCTGACCCATCCAACAACAACATAACCACTCCGCCAGCACCTGTTCCACCAGATGGCAAGCCTTTCCCCTCCAACGGAAACCCTCCTGGTCAGCCCACCACAGTCTGAGCTGCAACGCGGAAGGCATGTACACTCACTGAAGTCTCGGGCAGTTCAACGCCAGGGCTGTGAGAGAGGTGTCCGTGAGGTTGCTGCAGCCAGACAGGCAGAGGGCCTGCAGCCGGGGGCAGCCCCTGCAGATCTGCACCACGCCTTCGTCCGTAATGCGCTGGGAACCCAAAACAGGAAGGCAGGTCAGAAGGCACAGGAAACTGAAACGTGGATCTACTGATGGTCCACTGGTCTAGGTTGCCAGTTACCAGCACTGCAGCCTAGTAATTTAAACAAAATAAAGTGATGTACTCGGCAGACGGGTATTGATGTTCTTTCTGCACAGCTTTAAAAATATTCCAGCATTACTAATGAGAGCGGTATTTTAAAACTCCACTTACCTTCCCAGATTCATTGGATTTTCAGGAAAAATTCATAAACTTATATTAAAAATCAGATTAAATAAAAAGCTCATGAGACTTGGCTAAGTGACATTAATTTTTGGTTGAGTTTCTATAGATTAATGCTTTAGTTATCTACCATATAAATGCTATGTGTCTATAATGGAAAAGTTAAATAAATCACTAAATTATTGATAAGTCAATATTCAAAATAACATCTTTATTTATATATATTAGTTTAGGTGGAGATAAAAATGCATTTATGTTATACTAGAGGCCCAGTGCAAAAAGTTCATGCAGGGGGGGAGGTATGGGAGTGGAGTGTTTGGGGGGAGGGGCTCCCTCAGCCCAGCCTGTGCCCTCTTGCAGTCCCGGACCCCTCACTCCTTACTGCCCGCCTGCTTGCTGCTCCTTAGTGCTGCCACGGAGGTGGGAGAGGCTCCTGCCATAGCCACTGCGCTTGCCAGCCGTGAGCCCGGCTTCTAGCTGAGCAGCGCTCCCCCTGTGGGGACGCACTGACCACCAGGGGCCAGCTCCAGTGTTGAGTGTCTGCCCCCTGGTGGTCAGTGCATGTTGTTCAGCTGTTCAGTCAATTTGCATATTAGGGTTTTATTATATACTAGAGGCCCGGTGCACAAAAATTTGTGCACTCAGGGTGGGGTTCCCTCAGCCCAGCCTGCCCCTACCTTTTTGCTCTGACAGTATTTTGAAAAGTATATTTGTCCATTATAATGTTATTAACATAAAGTTTGCTTTTAATTTTTAGAAATAGGATGATGTCATTTTAATGTTTTTCATATATATATGAAATTCATGCACTGGGGGGGGGACCCTCAGCCCAGCCTGCCCCCTCTTACAGGCCAGGAGCCTTCAGAGGAAGGAGGTGACCTGGCAATCAGGGGAAGGTGATGGCCATCACACCTCTGCTGCTGCCACTGCCGGCTGTACAAACCTTGGCCGGCTCTGGTTACCTGAGCCTCAGGCATCCCTGGGCAGCTGGGAGGCTGAAGGGACTGGGCATCTCCGGAGGCAAGTATGTGACGCGTGCTGAGGCGTCTGCGTGCCACCATCTTGTGGCTGTGGATGCTGCCATCTTTGAGGATGGGGCAGTCAATTAGCATATTCCCTCCTTATTGGCTATGGGCACCACCATCTTTGAGGGTGGGGCAGTCAATTAGCATATTCCCTCCTTATTGGCTGTGGGTGATGCCATCTTTGCAACAGTGTGAGGCTCAATTAGCATATCCCCTCTTTATTAGATAGAAGGATTTCAAGTCACAGCCATATTAGGGTTTTATTATATAGGATTTCAAGTCACAGCCAGTGCTAGCCTACATGCAATTCAAGGTCTGACTTTGAACAGCTGCAGGCCCCTCAGTTAATATATGTCCAGAAGATAGCTTCTCCTTTACCTCCCATTATCAGGGACTCTAGAGATTTATGATTCACGCGCTAAAATCCCAAATGCAAGGGACTTCTTGCCTGAGAAACCAGTATACGTAGAAAGCATCCTCAGTTTCAGCATTTCCAAGGGCAGGGGAGAGGAACTGCAGCTTTTCCCAGGCTCATGAGCTGCTGGAAAGGACGCCCTACCCCGCCACATGCCCTTATTCCTAAAGCATCCTCATGTCTGTTGTTCCTTTTTATTTACTGGCACAGTGTGAGAAGTGTCATCATCCCCCGTTTATAAATAAATAAAAAAAGACACTGAGGTCTTACCATGGATTGATGAGGTCAGTGACAGCCTTCCTAATATCTTAAACAACTGACTCCAAGCTGCATCATTTACAGGGGAAGTGTCAGAGGCTTTGCATGGGCCTTTCTGTTTACAGTGGTGTTTCATCTTGTGTCAAATGGACAGATCACAGAAGGACACAGGATAAGAGGTTAGGTGTGGCAATCATCCTGCCTGCCTGGGTGCGTCAGGGGGACCCCTCCCCTCCGCAGTTTCTGAGGGAGGACACGAGCGGGAGGGTGCACAGCGGAAAGGCATGCTACTTACTGGGCAGGACTGGAGGTTGAGGCTCACAAGCTCATGGCAGTAGTTCTGAATGTGTTTTAGAGCTTCGTCTTCTAACTGGGACGGAGAAGACAAGAGGGATGGAACCAGGTGAGAGAACAGTGGGGCACCAAGGAAAATGCAACAGCAAGGCCCTCATCAAGTGCCCACCCTAACTTCAGATATCGGTAGTCAGCGCGGCTGTGCCAGCCCTGGTACCTGCGTGCAGCCCCGCAGGAGCAGGGCCTTCAGGCCTCGGCAGCCGCGCACCAGGGCCTCGATGCCATCCTTCGTGATCTGATCACACCACGAGAGGTTCAGGTACTCCAGGTTGCGGCAGCCCTCGCTGAGAGAACAAGAAACACAACCACGCATGTGCAGTCTAGCCTGCAGAGCAGCATTACCAACACGAGTTTAGTAAATCACTGGGGAGAGAGGACCCCTGTGACCATTAGAAAGGTGTCGGACACACCAAGGTGTTCATAGCTTTGGGTGCTTCTCTTGACCACAAACAACAGGTCCTCGTACCTGATCCCCTTTAAGGAGCTGTTGGTGATGGACACGCAGGAGGTCAGATCCAGATGTTTCAGCTTGGCGCAGAATCTGCTAAGACTGTAACACGTGCTGAGAAAGAGCAGAGGCACTAAAGATATTTTCAACCATGTTTCTCTCCTCTCTGTCTCCCCATAGCCAATCAGTCACCAAACTAATTTTCCCTACTTACCTGTCAGTGATTTTTGTGCACCCATTGAGGTTTAAGTGTTCGATGTTTCGGCAGTTCTGGGCAAAGGTCCTAAAGAGAACACATTTTAAAACTCCCTGCAAGTTGCCAGACAGCCACTAGAGGGCGTGTATAGCCATTCACATTTACAACAGTGCTCCTCAAACTTAAAATTTGTATATTATTGGACAAAGAACACTTAACATGAGATATATTCACTAAATAAAATTTTAAGCGTACAATATGTTACTGCTGACTATAAGTACTAGGGCTCCTCAAACTTTAATGTGCACACAGAAGAGCTTGGGGTTCTGTCCCTAGTGACCCCAAAGTCATGGTCTGTCCCTACTCTACACCAGGGGTGGGGAATGCCCGGCCTGCAGGCTGTATGAGGCCCACAAAGTCATTGGGTCTGGCCCTGCCACGGCATTGGTGAGTTAATTAAATGTGTGACCAAATATAGCAGGCTGACTTTTAAGTTGATAATTCTGTATGGCCCTGGAATGATGTTATAAATATCCACATGGCCCTTGGCAAAAAAAGGTTCCCCACCCTGCTCTCAGCAAATCACCAGGAAAGAATTTAACAGAAGAAAAGCACACAAGATGCTTAGTGTATTTTCGCTGATGGAAATGTCAGCTACAACCTGCTGTGGCTGGCGAGCCACTGAGGTTCGACTTACTTCAGGGAGGAATCCCCAACACCAATGCAGCCTCGCAAGCTGAGCTTCCGCAGGAACCCGCCGCAGCGCTTGGAGATGTTTTCCACCACTCGACCCTGGAACCAAGAAAGTTGGAGAGAAATTTTGTTTTTCATGCTGCTTATCTAACTGAACGATAACCTGAAATATAGGAAGTTCAGAAACTGAATATTAATATTAAAGCTGTTATAAAATAAAATTTTCTCATTTGGTCAGGTTTACCACTCTTAAATAGAGGTATACATATTTCCAGATAAATATACCAGAATCTCGAAATTGTAAGAGGCTTTAAAGATTGTTTTATAGGCAATAAAACCGAGGCACTGAGAAATGTGGCTCAAGTGGCCGAGCTAGAGTGACACTGCAGTGACACCTTCCCTCACTTCTGGCTCGTGCTGCTGCCCTTTCTCCATTCTTCTTTATTTATTTTATTTTTAAAATTTTTATTGATTTCGGAGAGAGAAAGAGAGGGAGAGATAGAAACATCAATGATGAGAATCACTGATTGGCTGCCTCCTGCATGTGCCCTATTAGGGATCGAGGCCGCAACCCAGGCATGTGCCCTGACTGGGAATCAAACCATGACCTCCTAGTTCATAGGTGGATGCTCAACCACTGAGCCACACTGGCTGGGCCCTTTCTCCATTCATGACGGTGAATTTAGAATTCTCAGTGGATCTTTCAGATCAACAACTATTTGTCGATTGTCCCCTCATATTAAATCGAGAAGCAGGTGTTAATGAGGCAGGTGTTGAGGCTTTAAGAAGCTAAGTGGTAAAACTCAGATTATAAATATGAAAAAAGTAATCTGTTACCAATACAGAGCAAAGTAAAATACAAGCAGCATTTTGGTCTGTATGCATGGAAATATCTTCTAGGTTCCCCTCTCTATTCTACCTCTTTTTTTTTTCAATCTTTAATTTCTTTATTGATTAAGGTATTACATATGTGACCTCATTCCCCCCCATAACCACCCCCCCACACACACTCTTGCCCTCACCCCTGTTGTCTGTGTCCATTGGTTGGGCTTATACGCATGCATATAACTCCTTTGGTTGGTCTCTCCCCCTTACCCCCACCCTCTATTCTACCTCTTGCCACCTTAGTATTAAATCTAAATGCAACACAAGAAACATGCAGGGGAAAAGGAGCAGTTCACTTATCTTCTTAAAAAGTCTTTTGTCTAAAACACAGTTAACTTACCTCTACATCTGTTTGAAAGTTAAAAAGGTCTATTCTTTGCCAGTTGCTTCCATCCAAGGCTAAGATGTTCCAAGCCTGGGAGGTGGGAGTAAAGGAGGAGGGATTAGGGTGAAAAAGATACATTTATTGAGACCATTAAAGAAAGACTTGATGCAACCTTTGTATTTTCAAGCTTGTATTCTTGATATACATTGTTTGTCATCAAATATGGAATTATGACAAGAGTGTGTTACATTAAATATAAAAGATGACGTTTTAATTTTTAACTATTTACTTGAACTGAAACTCATCCACATTCTAATAAAGCTTGAGAGTTACTGATGAAAAATCTGGTTGATACCTTACCTTGGAAATCTGTGCACATCGGCACAAAGTTACTATATCCAAGAAGGAAAATATTCTAGGAAGAAAGGGAAAAAACACAAAGAATGAAATGGTGTTAACATTTCAGGATATCTGTAACTTGAAAGATACAACCTAATGAGCCATCTGGATAGCTTCATAGTTTGTTTGTTTTTTCAAGTTTCTTCAATTTGCAACACACACGTATGCTATAATTTTACACACTACTGTGAAATATTAAATGTTTGCATGTTCCCAAGCTGTTTCAGATGCACGACACACAAATCCCCTTAAAACGGAACTCATGACACTTAATTTCCCTGGCTCTAGGCATGGACATGAGACAGACCATAACTTTTTCTATTCAAAGTCCAATCTCCCAGGAGCTGAGCCTGGTGAGAGCCGAATCCTTCTAATTCTGTGCCCTGCCTCACAGGCAAACCCCTCTTTTGGGGGAAGATGCCCTAACCAGGCTCGGATGCCGAGCCTCAAACAACATGGCCAAGAAAAGTTCGATGATAAAACCTATTTGGGCAGAAAAATGGAGCTCAAGGTCTACAAGTGACCAGTTTTTTATGAGCAAAAGCCAAGAAGGCACGGAAGATGGGAAAGATGGGGAAAAGAAAAGCAGAGAGAAGCACACAGAAACTTAGTTGACACCAGTAAGCCCCTGGAGGAAGCAGGAGCCGTGCGGCAGGGGCCTGGGTTGGGTCCTGACATCCTGGCAGTGGAGGACGAGTCGCTGAGGTCAGCATAGTGGCCAACAGCTGCGTGCGCCTCAGTCGTGGGCAGTGACAGTGAAAACAACAGCGTCTCTAGGAGAACACAGGTGCATGGGATGAGGTGAGGACAGTAATAGGATCTCAGCTCTTACAGTCCCAGAAGGTAAATATGAGAGGCTGTGTGTGGAAGGGGACAAGGGGGAGATGGCAAACAGCCACCTATAAGTTCTTCAAAATTTTTCAGCGAAACAGTCAGTGGTGTGCTGAAAATCTGTGGGCTCGGGGAAGAATAGTAATAAAGCACCAGACAGCTGTGCCCTATGACAGTGCACCCACAGCAGCACCACAAGGCTAGTGTTCGCATAAATACCATTCTACAAGATAGCCTCCAGTCATGTTCTAGTGAAAAGCCAAGGAGAGACGCATAAGGGCTGCACTGACCTTAAAAGACTCAGTGGAACTTTGTACACAGGGAAATGCTAGTGGCTGAAAATGAGCACTTAAATATATATTTCGGGGTGCTGCACACCTACATTGCCTCTGTGGGAATACATCTTACCCACAAAAAGCCATCCTACCTCAAATGTCTGTGTTCTGTGCCATATGACCATTCCACAAGGAGCCACAACTTACTGTCAGCTCCATGAGAGACCAGGAGAGGCAGAGAAACAAGTACAGTACAGCAGAATCATACTCCATGCTGGGGTTGGTTTCTAGGTACCAACTGAGGGTGAGAAAGGAGTTAGCTAAGTTTCCCTTGAAAATCCCTTATGAATGTACCACCTTGGAGACCACATACGCTATCACCTCTTGGTAGTATAACAATAACAATAGTTAACATTGACTATGTACTTCCTATGTGCTAGCCGCAGTTGATGTTAGTCATTTAGTTGTCGCGACAATGCTATGAGGTGCCACTGCTATTTCCATTTACAGATAAGGACACTGAGCACAGAGAGGTTAAGTAACCTGCCAGGCCACACAGTGAGAGTGGAGCTACGATGTGAACCGAGGTAGTCTGGCTGGAGAGGACAAGCCCATGACCACTCTGCAAGCTGCCATGATTTTGAACGCAGCTGCTTCCCCTCAGGATTGAGCCAGATGCTATTTCTTCCACTGAACAGCAGACAACGTAGTCTGTGTTTAGTGAGCATGCTATGTGGAAATCATGTAACTTTAAACGCTAGATTCATAGCAACTGAAGCAAGATGCTCACACATTCAGACAACAGAGAGCCAACAGCTGGGACACAAGTCCACATTTCTCATCTCGTGCTTAGTAGCCATCTGATGGTTACTGAATGAAGAAGCAGATTTGCTGTAGTATTTACATCATTGTCCCTCTCCCCAACGCCCCCATGACTCTCTGTGGTTGAGTTTGTACATGTTCATCTGCAAGCTAGGACTCCAAACTGGCAAACCGCAGTCTAAGCCAAGTTCCTGAGTCATGTGTCAGTGAATGAAACAAACGCCGGGAGTGACAGAGCTGGGACACTGGCAATAGAAAGAGAGACAGAGGAGTTAGATCAGTGGGATACTGAGGTCTGGCTCTTGAAAGCATTTTTTTTTCCTGGAAATGACTTCCTACCTCAATTGTGGTAACTTCACCCATAATTAGAAAAGCATGGCAGGTCCTGGCCAAGCTGGTTAGAGTGTCCTGATTCACCAAAGTTGTGGGTTCAACCTCCAGTCATGGGAATCAGCCAAAGAATGCAAACTGATGTTTCTCTTTCCTTCCTTCTTTCGTTCCTTCGTTCCTTCCTTCCTTTCTTCCTTCGTTCCTTCCTTCCTTCCTCCGCCCCTCTCTCTTTCTCCCCCCCTCCATCCTCCCTCCCTCCCTTTCTCTCTAATCAATATTTTTTAAGGCACTGCAATGGCAACTTGATTATTAATACATATGTACAGGGGCATATAGAGTGGATATACTTCGGACTTTGTATTCTGTTCCATTGGTCTGTCCACCTTACTAAGACCATTTTCTAATTATGAAGCTTTATAATAAGTCTTGATGTCTGGTAATCTAAGTCCTTCAACCTTGTTCTTATTCATCAAGATTACCGTGGTTAGTCCTGGCTATTTGTGGTTCTTTGAATTTCCACTTATGTTTTAGAATCGGCATATCAATTTCCACAAGAAAAATTGATAACGTTTTTAATGGGATTTCACTGAGTTTCCAGGGGAGAATTGAAATCTTTACAATAGTAAGTCTTCCAATCCAGAAACGTACCAATAACTACAAGGAAGGAAATCTACAGACCAGTCTCTCTTGTGAGCATGATGCAGAAATCCTAAATCAAATCCAGTGATATATAAAGATTTAACATATCATGGTCAAGTCTAACACTGACTTAACATTTTAAATCAATGTGATTCATATTAATAGAACTAAGGAATAAAACCTTATGCTATCTCAAAAGATGAACTGTGGGACAACGATAAGAGAGGTAACATGCACATAATGGCAATACCTGAAGAAATATTTGAGGCAAAACCGAGAAGTTTTCAAATTTAATGATAGGCACCAAACCACGCTGTTCCAAACCATAGATGCAGGAAGCTCAGAGAACTCCAATCATGGCAAATACCAGCCTATAATTTAACTTTTTTATAACATCCTCATTCAGTTTGGTATTAGGTAATATTGGCCTCATGAAATTCCCTTTAATCTACTCTAAAAATATTTTAGCTACTTTGCTTCAAATATTATCCCTCTTACATTTTTGCTATATTCCTTGTCTATAATTTCCTGTATACATATGTTGAATCTAATTCCATCTTCTGGGTCTCTTAATCTTTTCTGTATTTCCATATCTTTATTTTTCTATGCTAAATTATGTATACATTTCCCATCTCTATTTTCCAGTTCTCTAATTACCTTTTCAGCTTCATCTAATACCAGATGTTTAATCCATTCATGGACCCTTATGGTGGATCATTTCTTTAGGTACCTTGTAATGTTTTATCATGATCTCATTTTCTTTTAAATATTTTTTTTTCAAACTGAATTTCCTAATTTGGAGAATCTTATTATAAATATGTTTTTATTTATTTCAGAGAGAGGAAGGGAGAGGGAGAGAGAGAAATATCGATGATGAGAATCATTGATTGGCTACCTCCCGCATGCCCCCTACTGGGGATCGAGCCCACAACCTGGGCATGTGCCATGACCGGGAATCAAACCGTGACCTCCTGGTTCATGGGTCGACCTTCAACCACTGAGCCACACCTACCGGGCATGACCTCATTTGCCTCTGATTATTGATGTGTAGAAAGCTCATGCATCTTGGTTTTTTAAATGTCCCTATAAAATTTTTACATTTGATTCTGCCAAGTTCCCCCCAAATTTTCATCGTTCTAGCATAAATTTTACATTAATTTCTAAACTTGGTGTTTCTAAATCATGTATATATGAGGTCAGATTTCTCAAGAAAGACTTTTTCCCCTTCACCCAAAGCCCCGGTCAGAAACAAGTTTGTTTTTCTGGTTTGGTTTGGTTTTAAATTCCCATCATACATGTCAGGAACCTTTCCAGGGTCTCTGCTTTGTGTAGTGGTCACATACTCGGTTCCTCCCCTTGTCCAGACAAGGCCTCATCTCCTTTCTCACGGTAGCAGTAAAATCAGAGCCACTGATAGTCTGCTAACCATTCCAGTTAGGAGTACACAGAGATTATTTCTTTCCTGAACTATATTTACTTTTTGTTTTATCTTATCATAATCATTGTTTTCCTGCTAGCCCAATTACAAGGTTACAGAATCCAGAAGTCAGGCGTTCCTTTTCTTTGATAACAATTAACAGTGTAGTATAGGGTGTCTCAAAAACCATATAGAAACACACTTTCAATAACTATAAAGGCAGTGTTTATTAAGATACATTTCATTTTCAGAATTGAGCATCAGCTGTTAAAGTGTGTATACATTTTTTGGGACACCCTGTACATAGAATGCTCTACAGGGTAGAATACCAACTATCCTTCCTTTCCATTACTGTATCAAAAAAACAGCAGCAGCAACAACAAAACACTAGGTACATGAGCTATTTGATTACACATATGACTTATAGTGCTGAATAATCTGTTCAACCAGAAGTTTTTGCTCTGCTGAATAGAATAAAACCTATATGCCTTATCTTTTATAGGTGAATATATGAAGATATATGAGGGTGGTGTGTGTGTTTTTTGTAGATTATAAGGCTAATATCCTGTACACAACTCTTTTCTTACTGAAGAGCAGTAAGACATAGAAGGAAGAACACGAGAGTCAAAGTCAATAAGCCTTGAAGCCTCAGGCCCACGCAGACCCTTCACACTCCGAAGCTCATTTTTTTA